TATAGGACCACAATTGACCTTATAATCTGTTTTACTTCCAAAAATCTTCGACTCTTTACCGTCTGACATAAAGAATTGAATGCCACTAATAAGAAATTCACTATTATAATCAAGAAAATAAATATCCACACCAGTCACATAATTATGCTTCTCATCAAGACCTCGGATAGTATACGCATTTCCACCCTTTTCATTTCCAACACTGGTTACAATTTTATTTTTATACTTAACCTTTAGACAATCTATGACATCACCAGCATGGACGTTCATACCAGTAATGACATCACCATCATCATTAGTCATTTGATGTAATTCACTATGATTTCCATGATTACCGTCTGGAAAGGTATCATTTCCATAAATTCCATAAACAATTGTACCAATTGTTTCATTTGGAGCGATTGTAGGCGCATTCGAATTCTTAGGCAAGAATTTATCCAAAGCAAATGTATATAAATACATTTTCATAAATTCAGCGTTTGCTTCATTGATATATCGTAATTTTACTCGACCACACATTTCAATGTATTTTGCTGTTTGGTGAATTTCTGCGTTTACATAAATAATACTTTTATTAAGAAAGTTATCCTTAACTTCGTTAGGAATATTTACTTCGATATAATCATTGCGCCAAGTTTCCCATTTAGAATATATTCCTAAAAAATATTTTTTATAACCTTTGACTTTTTGGCGTAAATCCGACTCATAAGAATTGAACAGTTCCTAAAAAAAAAAAAAAAAAAAAAAAAAGAAATATATCAATTACTGTACCGTTACAGGTTTTGCTTAAAAGAATTTTAACAATAAAAGATTTGTATACCTTATGGTAAGTGCTTTTCTCTTTCAAAATAGCAAGATGCATTAATGAATATGTGATAGCAATAGTAATTAAATTGATATTGTCCTTATTCTCACTGGTCAAATTTTTATAAAAAGTATCGCACTGTTTGATTAAATTTGTCAGATATTCAGATTGTTTACTATCTGGTGCATCCCGATATCCAACAAGATTTTGTTTAATTTCTTCGACCATAATTTGATCAAGTTCTTTTTTTACTTCATCATGCTTAAGTATGACTTGAGATCTTTCAAGTACTTGTGTAAATATATCTATTTCATTTTCTGGAAAATATTTTGTTATTAAAGCAGCAATTAATTCAGTGGGTTTCGATGTATCTTTTGAGACTACATCGATGAATTCTTTGATACGAATGTCCCATGACATAT